AAAAAAAATGTACAAAAAATGAGAAACTGATATGATATTGCAGCGGGTCCGTGTAGTTTAGAAGGTCATCACTTATCCACTCCTGCTAAAAAAGGAAGATGTTGATTTGAATATAAAAGGAATGGAAGCTAAGCGAAGCTAAGCTCTCGAAGCACAAATTTTGAAGAAAGTGAAGTAGAGCTACGATATATCAAACATGTCTGACTTTAGCTTGAAGTTTATGTGACTTAAAAAAGAATAGTCTTTGCAATTTCACGCGTCAATGTATATCATTTCACTGTCAAAAATCTTACAGATTTTTCAATTCAAAGATTGAGACATTCACTGTGTTCATTCCTCAAATGCTGTTTATGTTCTGCATCTTCGTATATCTTTGTCTTGAGGTAGGATTGTAAGCCACTCTCTTTTGATCAACGTAAAGTCAATTATGTACGTCTTTTCTAGATTATATTGAAGTGGATTTTCTTCTGGGTCAAACCTGACATAATTTTCGGTCGGATTTACCCAGGATCGCATTGTGCTCCATCGCTGCTGGTAGGCGCTGTTGTCATTTTTTTGTTTCGAGATACTCTAACACTGTTCAAATTAAGATAGGACTTATCAATATGTTCATGTTCAAAGATCGTCTGGAAGGATTTGTGCAGATGGATAAGGTGAGACATTGCAATAGAACCTATAAAATCTCATTTTGAAAATCCGCCTTTCCCAAGTACTAAGATTGCGCATCTCCTTACTTGTTTCTGTAGTCCCAGATTTAACCTTTCCTAATCAGGACTTGATGCTCTGTTACTATCTCCCCTCTAATGAAACGATCCATCATTCTCTGCTTTCCGTAGATCTCTTTCCTTGCAAAATTCACTTCATGGTGATTCCTTACAACAGTGACGAATTTACATGCGCCTTTATATTTTGGTAATTTCAATAACTAATGATGTTTGCTTGCTAACTATGGGATCAAGAAATCTATTTCATGTTATTGCGTAGTACTTATTTCGTATTAGCATAACCCGGCTCGCTCTTTAGCCGCAAACCAATAACTATGTATTGTATTTACATGGAGAGAGCCTAAAGTACTAAGAAAGTTTTTGGGTGTTGGTTGAGAGGTTAGCCTTAAAAAAGCAGAATCCAGTGTGAAAGTTGTTTTTAACAAGAGTAATATTTCGACGAAGTTAATCTACAAACAAGTGTAAAGCTTGCACTCAAATATAATGTTAAATTTCAGCCAATAAATGCTGCAAATAATGAGTACATGGAAATAGACCAATGCCATCTCACACAATGGTATCCCGGGCAGGTATGAAGGTAAAACAAGACTTTCTATTGTTCAATAATCATACTTTTTCAGAGCCTGATTGAGGCTCTTCTTGTGATAATTGCCGTTATCTGTGTACCAGTTATGTTGTTCGGCAAGCCAATCCACTTCATGATGGAACAGAAAAAAAGAAAGAGAACAATAGGCAGCAATATCGTGAGTTAAAAGTTCATAACTTAACACAAATCCTGTGAGTTGTTGTTTCAGTCTGTCCGCGCCAATGTTGTGTCTGACGATTCGGAAATTATCATCAACGGAAGCAAAAAGAATGGAGAGCCTGAACAGGCTGCTGGAGGTGGAGGTGGTCATGGTCATGAGGAGGAGGTAATTAGCTAGTTATGGCGATGTTATGCTCATCACTCACCAAAGTGCAGAAGTGCCAAAACCCTATAATTCCAGTCTTTCGGTGATATTATGGTCCATCAAGCTATCCATACTATTGAGTATGTACTTGGATGCATTTCACATACGGCTTCGTACCTTCGATTGTGGGCCTTGTCTCTTGCACATGCACGTAGGTTTTTGCCAAGTTGCGTCAACTAACAGTTGGGAAAGCCGTCATTCTCTCAAATTATTCGAGAATGTTCTAGCAGAGAACGCACTGTTAGTTATACAGACTATTAGACCGACTATAAGTCGTTCAGTTATGCGATGATAATGGTGCTATAAGTGTAGGGATCTAAATGACTGCCACAGAGCAGTATGGGAAGGGCTTGCACTGTTGTATTCGTATTTTTTAAGATCACTCTGACCTGCGTAACTTATCACAAACTGTCCCTTATTAGCTGTCAGACAACCCAAGAACAGCCCTACTTAAAATCAGCGAGAACTTCCCAATTTTCCATTTTCTACTTATATGAGAACGTACCAATAGAAGAAGAAACAGTTTCACATTTCGAATATGAAATTTGAAATTTAATTCATCAAGTAAGCATCCTGTGCTAGTTCTGCTTAGAGCAAAGAGCAAACCAGAGCATAAGTGTGCAGTAGCAATCAGTGGCCCTAAATAGCCCTAATATGTTTGTGTGCAAATTGATTATGATCGTTTAAAATATTCAAAATTGTAAAAATGTAGACTGTTTTACTTCCAGGGGGTATTATAATGGAGCGCATTAATTGTAAGAAAAGAGCGTATCCCTTATTGAGGACTGGAACCAAAGGAAATTTTGTATTCATAGCATGCGATTACCCTAACAGCATCTTTCGCTTTCTCACATGGAATTTCAAGGCACCGAAATTTGCCTTTAAAATGATACTTTATTTTATGAAGTCTCTCTGGAAGCGCTTCTTCTTTAGAGCTCTCGGAGGTACTTTGGGAGATGGTACTCCACAATTCATTCGCATTGAG